AGCAAGCGTTTGGTACATATTTGGTACAACAGTCTACAATGCTAGTACGGCCTGTCAATGTGAGTAGTCTGGTGGCCTTTCCGCCAACCTTATCAACCGACACCGCACGGTCTTGGACATACCCTCGATGAAAGCTCCCAACCTACCAACCCACGTGGAAGAACAAACCTGAGATGCTGTCGGGGTCAAGGCTCCGTGCGTGACTTGAATCTACTGCGATGAATTGAACGTGATGGAATACGTATGAGACGCTCGGTATGGATCGCGAGAGGTTGAATTGCCTAGCTACTAGTTACTACAAGTCAAACAGCCTCACTTTGTTGGACTGTAATTTGATGTTGCACCTGCAGAGGGTCCCCAATTTCGCATCGTTATGGTTGATAACCCAAACGAACGCGACGCTCGACTACCTACTAACTAACTAATGCATTAGTGTGCAGCAATCACTGAATACATACATACCTCGCGCAAGAGGCAATGGTTTAGCTTGCGATGTGATGTACGTACATACATACAGTACTGTACTGCGTTGCAATGATCAGCAACGATAAAGAAGAAGTAAATTTTTCAAGGATGTGAGAAGATGGGAACAGATCCCGGTGGCATCTCTTTTCATGTGACAACTACCGACAATCGGAAGGGGAGAAAAGAAAAGAAAAGAAAAGAAAAGAAAAGAAAAAACTCAACGGCTGGTGGTATCACGATCAAGGATTGATTGACCGTACCGCCATAGCCTAGCCCGCAAGCATGGCATGGCATGGCATGGGAAAAAGCAAAGCAAAGCAAAGAGAAACGGGTCGTCACCTCATTCCAAAGCCTTTTGCGTTTGCCTCTTGCCTCTGTCTGTCTGTCTGTCTCTATCTGTACATGCCGTACGTCCCTCTTCTCTCATTCTCCATTCTCACTTCTCACTTCTCACACCGCATGGAAGGGCAGTGTCTGTCTCAGGTATGGGTGTAGCTGGAGTTATCCGTGGGTGGAAGATTGATTGCCTTGCCTCTAGGTCTGGGTCTGAGTCTGAGTCTGAGCCCGTCCGTCCGTCCATCCGTCCCACCCCTGGCGAGCAAGCATATGAATCTAGGATTCTTTCTTTCTTATTATGCGTCTATGCGTTGATGGCTCGCCTCTGTCAGAGTCAGACCTAGCTAGTAGTCAATAGGTGCCTGTGCGTAACGGGTCTTTACGAACGTTGTTTATGCCTTTGCCTGGTTCTCTGAGACGAAGCGGAGGCTCGATACGACGGTGCAATTCAAATCAAGTCTGGCGAAACCCGAATATTTCAAAATAGCATGACGACTTGGGGATATTCGCGGACGAACCATACCAGTCTCGGGATAAGATGGCAAACTCTTTAGTTATCGTTTGTCACTGATGGACATTGGATGCGCAACGGCAGCTCCGGGCCAACCCGTCCGCCGTATGAGGTGCGGTCCGCAAGAGTCTGAGTCTGAGGGCAACGGCTCAATGCCCAGACTAAGTTTAATGATGCCGATGGATGAGATGGTGTGTCATTTCGGCATACGGATAGCAGTCTATCAGTAATGATTACGAGCGAGCTACAGCACAGATACAGATACAGATACAGATACAGACACAGAGTAATAATTACCAATTCATAAACTTTGTACCCCCACTCCATGGTTGGTTGGAAGGATTCCCATTCAGTTATGGCTTCACCATGTTTGCCTACCGAGGACTGATCGGCTAATTATGTATTTGCTTTGTCTTGTCATATCCTACCTATCTGATCTTATCCTATCCTGTCATGTTCTGCTTGCGCTGCTCTGTCGTCGTGTCCTCGTTCGTTGTCTCTTTTGCCTCAACCTTTTTGCTTTTTACTCTCTCATTTCTGTGGCCTCTTTTCCACCATCTAACCATTTTCAGTATTCTTTTCTTTTCTTTTCTTGTCGCTATTTCACAGCATGTCATCATATGATGTGATACATTACATGTGACTGACTTATGCGAGGACCATTTGCAATTCCCATGGTTATGCACCTTGGACCTCTGATGGTCCATGATGAGGGTCCTATCATGCATGTCCCGACCAACAAGTCCTACCTGGATGAAGCGGTCACGGATCACGGACTGTGTCTAATAATGCATGTCGCATGCCCGGAGAATGTCAGTTTTTGGCCTCGCCCTTAACAGTATGTACAGGCTGAGGGGCAAGCAACGCAACACGACACGAGGCCGAGACAAAGGTTTAGATTTGCTCAGCTGAATATGAAACGATCGAGCCAATGACGAGGGGACAAAAAAGCGTTGGAGATATCCGAGTGGATGTCTGATCTGAAACATTTCGAATAAGTGAGAGTGTTTGACGTCAAATACTCGAATTCAGGACATAAAACAGACGTATCAATGATGCAAGTTGAGGTTTTCAACATCAACTTTTGCATGCCTCCCACAGCTTGCACGACATTTCGAGCTTTGTCGACTCGTTAGCCCATGAGCGAACTGACTTGAATCTACCAGGCCAAACAGCCCTTCGTCTTAATACATGCTTGGTTTCATAACCTGCAGGCAAGGCAACCACAGGCAGTTAGCTGGCTTCGGAGTGCTCTGTGGGGTTGTTAGGGCATAGGCATGCAGGATTCGAGAAGTGGTGAGGCCGATATGCGAGTTTGGGTGGGGAATCGACTGTCTCTCACTGCGGGATAATCAGTAGGAGAGAGGAGTATCCCCGAATGGCCTCATGTGGCGGCGAGGCACGGAAAGAGAAGCAAGGGATCACGGTGAATCGATTGGGATCCAATGAGTGCGAGGAGGGGGAGGGGTTGCGTATGTATGTACGTACCGTCGGGAATGCTTATACCTCCACCAAACGTGACGTGCGTAGAATGGCGGTCACTTGTGATATATGCGAGGGATAACATAAAAGGTCTTTGGAAAAAAGGGTTTCACAGAGGACTTTGGGATGCTGATTGGGTGTTGGCTTTCTTTGGTGACAGGTCGTGGATCAGATTTTGGACCTGCATCTACGAGGGCAGCATTTGCAGACGCATAATGGAGTTGGCATATAGGGTATGTACCTATCTACCATGGACTGGAATTAATCATCTATCTATCTAGGTATTGTATGCATCTGATGGCTCAAGTGTAGGATGAGTGTGGTTCTGCCCTTTGCTCTTTGTCCTTTGTTTTGCTTTTCTCTAATTATACAAATCTTTTCTGGCTCTTTTGCACTCATAATTCTTTGCTTATTTGTCTTGCCCGTGAGCTTAGACTCGGCCTATTTTATAGCACATATATGTAACTACCTGGTAGGTAGGTAAGTGTGTACTTTATATTTAGTTTTTCAAGGGAAGCAGAGTTTATGTCGATGTGGGAGTTTTGCTGATTTTGTCCCTTTCCTCGGCAACTTTCTTCTTTTATTACCCCCCATTTGCTGGGTGGTCAAAATGTCGGTGACTCGATTGCCTGCCATCGGTGTGGGTGGTGCAGGTAGTGCGATGATTTCTAAATGGAGGGTGTAGGGTACTTGACTTTGACAGAGGAGCGACCTATACCATTCCAGCAAGTTCCGTGGCAGAGGAAGGGATGGTATGGAGGCTTATATGCGAGTGATGAACGGTGCCAAAGATGATGCAAGGGCTGATCTGCGACATGGCTTACACGTGTATGTCTTGGATCTGGTCTGGATATAGAGTGGTTGTGGTTGTGACTGTACGTACGCTTTATGCGAGGGCGCGCATTTTAGAGTGCTGTGTGAGACAAAAGATCTAGCCCTAACATGCCAGTAGATTGACGATTGATTCTGATTGAGTGATGGTGATTTAGACTTCAGCAAGGGATGTTTCGTTGCATGCCGTTGCAAGGATCGAGATCAGTCCGAGACTAGTCCAGATGGCCCTCAATCAGGTTGCGCAGCTTGTATTTCAAGTATTCGCCTAGTTTGATGTGTGCGGGAGATATTGTCCTACTTATCTGAAACAAAGAGCTCTTATTATGTATGACAATTGTACGGTACAAGTTGAGTTCGGGCGGACACTGAGGATAGGTACAACGTTGTCATCACGATCTTGAAATCGCGGAGTGTCGCATACTGGGAACGGATCATGGTAGGATTTCAGGTGTAAGCTTGACGATCACAGACAACTTCCATTATTAATTGTTCGGTATCAAGAACTCGGCGAGTACGAAAAGCTACTTGTCATTAGCATATAACCCTAGAAATAGTAAGGACTTTGATACGTATACCATGCTGATCCATACAAGGCTATTGAGAAAATTAACGAGGTTCTCGAACCAAGCAACGCTGAGCCCGTCCGTATATCACCCAGACAGACTCTTTATCTACGAGTGTCAAGTGGTGGTGAGTGATATCAGCTCATGGACCGGGCGCCACCGCGGTATAGGGTAACCAAACCATTCAAAACCGGTGCCGGGGTCCCGTGGCGCCACACGGGCCGGGCCAGCCAGCCCAGCCACCCGATTTCCCAGCCACCCGGCAACACGGAATTGGGTACTAGGTACTCTACGGATAATATCCCAATATCTACAAGAAACGCTCCCAACCTCCCAAGGGATCATCCTCGGGGCCAATTGCTATTACGCGGCGCCCAAGAAGAAACCGGAAAACGGTGAGCGTTGAATTTTCCAATGCCAAGCGTGTGACGTGACGTGTCTTGTCTTGTCTTTGCTCGTAATATTTCGCTTTTTAGTCTTGAGCGGGAACCTGCATCTTCACCACTTCTTCCTCCCCCTTACACCAACAATCACCATAAGCCTCGAGTCTGTTCCCTTGTGCTACTACAAATTATCGACTACTGACACAACGATACCCGAGACGAGTTGAAGAACAGAGCACGGAGTAATACTCACAGTGACGACGTTGGCTTTTTCACCTCACCGTACATATCATATCATACCCTACCCATCTATCTACCTAGCATACCTAGCTAGCACATACAGCCCAACATGAGATGGATATCTAGAGTCTCGGCCGCAGCCACAGTGCTGCTTGCTACCACAGCCTCAGCCCAGACATGGAGTAAATGCAATCCTCTTCAGAACAGTACGCACACTTTAACCGCCAGTCAACCCGTCATCCCACTGACCAGGCACTTATAGGCAACTGTCCCAGCGATGATGCCCTTGGCATGAGCATCGACATCGACTTCTCCAAAGGCGAGGTTAACTCCTTCGCAGCCTCCGGATCGCCCAAATACGACAGCGAGGGCGTCTCCTTCACCGTCGCCCGCTCCAATGACGCGCCGCAGCTGGCATCCCTCTTCTACATCATGTTCGGCCGTGTCGAGATCACCATGAAGGCTGCTCCCGGAGCTGGTATCGTATCGTCGCTCGTTCTCCAGTCCGACGTGCTCGACGAGATCGACATTGAATGGCTCGGCTCCGATAATGACCAGATCCAGTCAAACTACTTTGGAAAGGGCCAGACGACCTCGTACAACCGCGGCGAGTTTCACGACGTGACAAATACGCAGGGCGAGTGGATTACATATACCGTCGACTGGACCAAGGACCGCATCGTCTGGATGGCTGGCGGCACTGTCGTTCGAACCCTCAACGCTGGCGACGCCGAGGATAACCAATACCCTCAAACTCCGATGCAAGTCAAGTTTGGCGCTTGGGCTGGTGGTGACCCCAACACAAACTCCGCAGGCACCGTCAAATGGGCCCAAGGACCAACAGACTACTCTAAAGGCCCCTTCACCATGAAGGTCAAGAGTATCATTGTCACAGACTACTCAACTGGTGACGAGTACAAATACAAGGACACATCTGGCTCCTGGCAGTCAATCGAATCTGTCGGCGGTGAGATCAACGGCAACGAAAACGGCGATGCCATGACCGTCACTGCTACCGCCCAAGGAACTGTCGCTACGGCCGATGGAAACGTTCCCGTCGGAGGTATCGCCGAGGATGGAAGTCCCGCTACAGCTACACAGACGGGATGGCCCTGGACCGGCTCCCGACCTTCTGGCGGAGCTATCCCCGAAGGCTGGAGGCTCAACGCCAAGGGGAAAATCATTCCCGCCGAGAACAGCGCCTTCGTTCTTCAGCCTTTACACAGCGTTGTTGCTGTTATACCCTTCTTGGCCGGCATCATGGCATTTGCTGGTCGTTTCTTCTAGAAAAGAAACACCTTGACTTCACTTTACGATTCGACAGCATATTATCTCTTGGGTTTGGGCTCATGTACATTGTCCGACATCTGATGACTTCCAGACGACACCACGAGTATGTATGGATGTGATGCCTTAATTCACATGGCACGGTTGGTTGGCGTTTCTGGAACTGGGGCACTGAGTTGCGATTGCTTGGTATTTGGGTTTTTTGACATATTGCTCTTAGCGACGGCGCAATGCATTATTTGGCTGTAAAGAATAGACACATAGCAAACATTAGATAGACAGGCCGTGTATAATGAAAGAACCAACTTATATATGTATATATTCTCCGAGGACCAATATAATATACACTCTAGAATGGAAAACACATTCTTCTGGTCATACAAAGGTCTGAAAAAGATAGCACTAGTAAATATAGTTATCAGAATCGTGCCCGTTTCGTCCATGCTTGAGCCTTAGCAGAGCCATGAATGGAGTCCACCCCTTTCCAGAGGCCTCCAAACTCCAATAGCATGCGAAGTGCTTGTTCTATAGGTATGATTTCTATGATACTAAAATCTCTGCCGCCAATAACCCCCTTATATGCTCCGAGAAACCCATCTCAGCGCCTGCGAGTTCGTTGTCTGCGTTCTACGGCCGTTCACCCTGCAACCAAAAAGCACATCGCGAGCTCGCGCTTCGCTCGGTGTACTTTCTCCTCTTGTCTCCTTAGCCTCCCTCGCCCTGGCTCATGTCGAAAGCAATATCCGAGTATTCTTACAAAACTTCCGAGAAAAAAAAAAGCAAGCAAATTAGTATAAAAGCAATAGAACCAAGAACCTCCTGCACTTTTCTTTTTATACGCCAACACCCTCACGAAGAACTTAGAAGGTCCAGTCGTCCTCATCCTCCACAGACTTGATGGCCCATCGGAACTTGTCACGAAGAGTCTTGGAAAAGAACTTTTCGATAGGAACGTCGAACTTCTTGGAGAAGACCACTGTGAGGCGAGGATCAATGTAGTTCTTTGAATGATAAGTCAGTCAACAAATTTCAACCTGTTTTGGTGGTACTCACGATCTTGGAGGTGCCGAGGGCTACCTCCTTGTTGCCATCACGATCCTGGGCTTGAAGCTCCAGTGTCTTGATGCGCTCATCAAACTTGTCCACAGCCTTTAGGAGCTTGTCGACAGTAACGCCCCTGCCTTCAGCCTCAACCTTCTTGGTCTTGTTCTCCTTTTTGAACTTGGACTCCATCTCCTTGACAGCCTGAAGACGTTCTTTCAGTTCCTTCTCGGGGAGAGGCTTCTCTTTGTCCGCCTTGCGCTTTTCGTTGTCCTTCTCGAATTTTTTGGTAATTTTGGTGCGCTGCTCCTCAAGTAAGAATTGCTGATGCTCCTTGACCCACTCGTCATTTAATTCTTCATCCCTCTCAAACCAGGCGGCACCCTTCTTCTTCTTATAACCAGATTCAATATCGAGAATCATCATCTTTGTTCGCCATTGCTGGTAGCGGAGGCCTTTAATCTAGAAGAGAATCAGTACCTGGAGTGGTCGACTTATACAGAAGTCAGACTTACCCTGTCACCAAGCTTGGCCATTTGCTGCTCGTGCCCAGCGCCAACGGTTCGCTTATGGTTGCACAGAACGGCAACTTCGCGGTTACAGTCATTGTACAGTTTTACTTTTTCAGCAACTGTGCCGCGGGAGCGAGGATCCGAAGCGAGCTTCCTGAGCAGTTCTGACATTGTCCAGGAAGCGTTGTAAGTACGAAAAACCTTTGCGGTCAGACCTTTCATGTAGCCGGTCAAATGCCTATTCAGCTGAGCCGTCTGTAACTCTGTCAGCATCTAATTCTTATACAACGAACAGGGAAAAATAAAAATAAAAAGGGAAAGAAAAGGAACTCACGTTGAGGCGGTCGAAGAGATCATCTCCTGTAGTCTTGGGCGCTTTCTTGAAAAGTTTCAGGTTCTTGAAGACCTGAGGCTCAACAATGGCAGTCTCTCTGTATGGAATACTGTCCTTTCCGAGGAAATCGAATGTAACCTTGTTGGGAGGCTCAAGTGTAATATGCTCGTACTTGAGAGAGCAGCAACCCACAGTGTCGGCCTCGTTTTCTGTGTCTTTCTCGTTACCGGCTCGAAGTGCCATTTTGTCGATCAGATACATGGCGGTGGCTCGTTGACGATCTGCCATTATTTCACTCTTGAGCTCCTTGGTGTAGTCCTTGCGAATCTTGTCGATATGCTTTTTGAGTTCCCGTGCCTTCTCAAACTTCTTGAAGTCACTCTGACCTTTGATATCGCTATCAGCTCCAAGCATGACGTACTTGTAGTTTTGGTTGATATTCTCCTGCCACATGGCTAACCAGGTTGCCTTCTGGTCGTGCTGCACAGCCTTCCACTTGTGTCCCTTGGGAGGTTCAGGAACCTTGGCACCCTTGCCGATGTTGATGGTGATTTGTTCGGGTTGAACACGCTGCTTGACTTTACCGGTCTTGGGATGTTCACCACGTCCACGGAACAAGCTTGGAGGCTCGACTCTGAAGTTGCCAACCTTCTGCTTTCTACCATCCCATAAACAGTGAGTGAAGGGCGCTTCGAGGGCATCCTTCTTCGCCTTTGCAGCCTCCCTCTCTTCCTTGGTCATGTTTTTGGATTTATTCTGTTCCACCTTCTCGCTCCAATATGCGTAAATTTTATCGAAGTTGCATTTTTCGAGCGATTTGACGGCGACCTTCTTTCCCTGTGCATCCTTAACACCGTACTTGTCGCAGTATTCTTTAAAATCTTCAAAGAAGTTTTTGCGGAAAACAGGGTTCTCTAGGTGATGGGAGGATGCAGGAGTCATCATGGCAACCCAAAAGGTAGCGACCTCTTCAACCTCGGGAGCAAGAGTAACTGGTTGTCCATCGTAGAGCATCTTGACGTGCTTGGGCAAAGGCTCGTAATCAGGCGGGAAAAGAACGCCATTGTGCTCAAGAGTTGTCCATTTGATATCATCATTTTCCTTCTTTGGCGCGTTCCACCAAGCATATTCTTCTTCGTCCTCACTCTCGCTGGCCTTCTTGGATTCTGCCTTGACGGCCTTCTTGGCAGATGAGGTCGGTTTAGCCTTGGCTTTCTTGGAGATGGGCGCATCCGAATCTGACTCTTCTTTCTTGACACCATTCGACTTTCGCTTCGCAGCAGTTCCGTTAGATCGACGCTTACTCGCTGAAGATTTTGCAAGTGGGACATCGTCGTCGGACTCATCTTTAACAGCGTTCTTTGCCGCAGGCTTCTTGGCTCTTTCTTTGGCTCGGATGACTTTGGCTTGCTTCTCAGCTTCCTTCTCCATGCCACGCTTCTTTTGCGCGAGCTTCACACTAAGGGGCTCGTCGTCATCGCCCGAGGACTCGGGCAAGGCAGTCTCGTCGTAGGAAGGGGGAAGTTTCTTTCCTCGGGCTCTTGCAATGGGTTCATCGTCGGAGTCGGATTCGGGAACTCTGTTGGCTTGCTTCTTTTGCCGCTTGGCCTGCAATAGTATCGTCAGCATACCTGGCCCCACAGGAAGGGGTTTCCTATGTCAAGAATACGAACCAGAGGGGCAGCATCATCACTCGACTCATCGTCCTTGTAGTTGACCTTGCTGATAGAGGTACGCGATTTACGTTTGCTAGCGCCGTTGGTAGCTGGTTCATCGATGTCCATTGCGTCTTCAAGAGGACCATTGCGAACGGACAGACCAGCCATCTTAGCAGCCTGCTTGGACACTGGCTGATCAAGAGCATCATCTTCGGCGCGAGAAATCTTAGACGAGGAGACTATAGGAAATCCATGTGTTAGAATAGGGACCAGCAAAAACATGCGCGTAGTAGGTGGTGTTGTTGTAGCTAAACTTTGTTTTGAAAACGCCAACGTGATGAGGACGCCTGAGCGCGGGAACAAAACCCAGCGAAGCAGCATGATAATTGACAAAAAAACACAACTCACGTTTATGGCCGTTGGCCCTCGCAAGAGGGCGATCGTCGTCAGAGCTGTAACTCATGGTTGTGAAGTTCAAGGCAAGTTTCCGTTCCGCGGCTGGTCGCCTACCAAAGTACAATGAGGTCAGGGACTGAGATTGAAGATGCGAAAGCGTGACAGAACGAAGAACAGGCCTCTGCAAACGGAGGAAAAACGTAATATCGAAGGAAAAAGCGCGAGGAAATGATCCCCTCAACGCCTTGTGTAGGAGAAGAGGGTGCGTTTGACGATATTCACGAAAGCTGGAGAGGAGGGAATCAGCAACAATGGGATTGGGGAGAATAAGTCGAGAGGCGGCGTTCCTGCTTTCTTTAAGGCCAAGACCAAGACAGGCCCGGACCCGGCGACGGAAAGGCGAGGCGAGAAAGGACTGGGTCTACAAGGCACCTGAGTGAAAACACAGGCAGAGTGAGTGTGGGCACTGTAGCCTTGGTTCTCAGTGGTTCAGCCAGGTGTTGCTCAGTAGTTGCAGCGACTCAGTAATGGGGCTAAATGCAAGAATCTGTTATGTGATTGGACAGGTGGGGGAGAGTTGACACAGCGGATGAAAATCGGGGG